CATTACAAAGTTATTTTAGCACTTCTCTAGCAGACATAGTTTAGAAACTGTAATGATTAAAAGTAGTATGGACAATTACTTTCATTACAAAGTTATTTTAGCACTTCTCTAGTAGACATAGTTTAGAAACTGTAATGATTAAAAGTAGTATGGACAATTACTTTCATTACAAAGTTATTTTAGCACTTCTCTAGTAGACATAGTTTAGAAACTGTAATGATTAAAAGTAGTATGGACAATTACTTTCATTGCAAAGTTATTTTAGCACTACTCTAGTAAACATAGTTTAGAAACTGTAATGATTAAAATTATTTTGGATTGCTACTTTTATTCCCAAATCTTCTTACCATTTGTATAGGAAAAATATTAGGAACTACAATGATCTAAATTATTCTGGACAGCTATATTCTTTGCTAGATTTTCCTATTGTCAACCTAACAGACAAATTATAGAACCTATAATGGCTATTGTTTTTCTTTTCTTGACAGCTGCTTTCATCTCTAATTTGTCTTATCACTGAACAAACTGAAAATAGGATGGGTTAAAAGTTTTTCTGAATAGCTCCTTTTGTACCTTGTTTCAGTTATCACTACTCCAGCAGAAGAACTTTAAGAATTGGATTGAGTAGTGTTTTGTTTTGACAGCTACTAGTGTGTTTTTGTATAAATATTTATGGCTGTGTGATTGCCAACCATATATTCTCCACTATTTGTTTCAGACATCTAATATAGGTGGTCAAGGAAATTTGAACCCTGTGCCAAAATCTACCCTTGAAGCTTCTGAAAATAACAAGATAATAAAAGATGCCTTGTTTCCATAAGTTGCTGGCATGAAATTAACAGGTTTGTCACAAATATACTTGTTAGTTTTTCCTAGCATGTCAGAAAAAAAAAATCTTAAAAGTGCATATGTCCATGATCTTATGGTTTTGAAAGCTTTGATACTGCCAGAAAGTATTTTCCTAAAATATTGTGTTTTGTAAAAACCTTATTTGTGTAGTTGGGCTCTCATTTGTATTGCCAAATTCATATCTATTAATTATTGTCAGTTATACGTGGTTCTAACATTTGGGTTGTATAACTGGTATCATTATTGTTGTTTCAAAAAAAACTGTTATTTTATTAATAAAAAGCACAAGAACTGATAAAAGTAAAGTTTATATTTTAGAACTATATAATCCAGAATGAATGTTTAACTAAGGTTACAGTAATTAGAATGTCTATTCTCCACTTAGAGTAATGTGAAAAACTCCTGATGAATATCAAATTACATGTAGTTTTGCAATAATGTATATAGTTCACAATGACTTTTATATACCTGAGTGATACAAGTTGGGAATGTAGAACTTCAATAAAAAGCTAATATGAAAAAGGTCTGATTGTTTTACTTTGGCTTATCACTCACATCTTTTTTCTGATAGAGCTGCCAGCACAGTTATAGTAAACATTGATAGTACAATTCTTTCTTGTTTTTGTTTGTTGTTTTAGGTCAAGGTGTGAGGTTCTTACTGAAGAGCTCAATCTTAAATTTTGAAAGTTTTGAAATGAATTTTGATTTTTAAAAAACACTTTAATATGTTTTTGTAGAAGCACACCACCAAAGAAGACATCTTTCCAATAGTGTTGGTCATCTCTGGTGGAATGACAGAGAAAAATGAGATGGAACTGAAGTGACAGGTGGGATAAGTAATATGACAAATGTAATTAACTTGAAGTCATTTTCAGGTAATTATTCAGGACAAAATATTTTGATACCTCCATAGAAAACAGAATGGGTATGGTGAGTTTTTGTATTATAGTAGAAACCATACCACCTTTAGACATTCCAGTTTGTTTGTTTTAGGAATTTATTCTTACATTACTTGAGTTGTGGTTTTCATTGGTATAAACAATTGTACATCCCAAAATTCAGCAACAAAAATGGTTGTAGTGAAAAATCAGGCTCAATACAAGAAAACAGCATTTTATTGGTAATGACATACTTCTCAAATAGTGTCACAAAATGTGCCTCTTCATTCATGTGACCATGCTTGGCTAAGATTAGCTACCCAGGCAAGTGAGGTAGCCTTTTCACTGTCTTTGTAGCCAAAAACAACATCAAGATCGTCATCTGAAAGACTAGGAAAATACGTTCATTACAACTAGCTCACTGTCTGCTGGTACCTCCCAAGATGTTTTCGAAAAGATCACATGCATGTGACATTTTGTTGTTCCAGGTGTTTGTGTTGAGTGAGGCTCCTCTGCCAAGTTAATCCGTTCATGTACTTGAAACATTAACGTATTTTCTACAAAATAAAAGGTGTGGGTGAAACAAAATAGTTTAGAAAATTCAAGAACATGATGTTAATTTCTTTTTTTGTAATATTTTAGGAAACACTCATTTCACATGTGTTAAATGTTTTTGTTTTTTTCTTGTTGTTGATTCACTAGATCAGGTTCCCTGATTCATTAACAGTTTGCATGGTAAACATTAGTATGGGATCATTTTAAACCATAAGCTTTTGTCTTGTATATTTTGTGAATTTTTATATTGTTATCTTAACATTGTACATGTTTTTCAAAAGTCAATAAAGCTTATCCTTCCTGATTTATTCTTTCACTTATTTTTTCTAAAAGCAAAACCTATGACTACAGTGTAACAAAATGTTGGAGGTATTTTATGAAATTCTAAAGGTTTTATAGTGTATGTAATGTTTTCTGTCAGCATAAATTCTGTAAAAAAAAAAAACAGTACCAATGTAATTTAATGTGAATGATAAAAAATATATACTTAAAGCTGCTAATTAATCATTAATTTCCCCCTAACCCATCCATTACAGGCTAGATGGAATTCACCCAGCTCGTAACCATGATAGTAATTATACTATGGTTTTTGATAATCTATGCATATCTTTACAAAATTTTGCAGGTTATTGGTAAACATTACAAGGCTTTTGTATGCAAAATATCAGGTTTTTTTATTAAAAAATTTCTCGTAAACGTTTTTCTTTCAGTATGTTGACTATCCAACTTGCAAAGATTAAGATTTAAGATTAAAAATACTTTAATGCATTTTCAAATTTCACATATGAAATCTTCATAATCTCCAGATAATTATCAATTTTTTTTGTAGAAAAAACTATTTTATTTGTTATTTTCACTAGTGTATTTCTATATGGGTTTGTTTGATATGACCTCTCTCGTAACCACCATAAAAAACTTAGAAAAAATATATATTATGCTTTTTTAGTTTTAGAATGACTACAAACTATAACACGAAAACACAAAATTTTAGTCTAAATAGATTAAATCACATAATGTTATACATTTATATATATTTATTATTTTTATTATATTGACCTTCCAGCTCTGCCTGGCTAACAATACAGAAGTTACAGTGGCGTACGTGCACTCATATTACCATATCCAATAATATATAACTGACCTTTAGTCTTTACAAAGTAACCTGTCTTGGCTGTGTTTTAGTGGATTAGAATTTTGTAAAATACAGTCACATTTCAATTATTATACATTATATATGTATGTACATTATTACCATTTACAAATAAGTTCTTAAACTTATTTTTCTCAAAACATAGAACAGTAAATAAAGAACTCAAGCAAACAATTATCTCTTCTAGTTACAACCTTTGTACTCATTTGATGCTTGTCATAGGTTGCTAAGCTTTATAAAATTTCACCCATGGAGGATGTGAAACAAAATAATGTTTTTTAAGTTTTATATACATTTGAAATAACCAAAAAAATCATAAATTACTATACCAATACTATAGAATTCCACTTTAATTTATCAAGCTTAGTAACTAAGCTGTATTTGAGTCTGAAAAAATAAGAAATTTAGAATTCACTAAAGACTTATCTCATCGTTTGAAATCTTGTGTGAAAATAATGAATTTAGCACAATAACACTTCAAAATGGCTGATAAAACCACTGGGGGGACATTCTGAGCTTTTGATTGGTTATTCATGTCATATATAGTAGTAAGTATATATAGGTACCGTTTCAAAAAATGAAAAGAGGTGGGGGCACTGTGTTTGATTCAGTACAGGAGTGATATCTTAGCAAATAGCAAATGTTTCTGGGTCACATGACATGAAAAACAACTTTTTTATAAGTTGGATACAAGATGTGATGTTTAAAATGTCATTTTTTTAACTGTACCTTAAAAGCTTGTAATTTCATTAATTAGCCCTAACATTACAGATGGGGATCTATTCGTTTTCTAAACACAATTTTTTGAAACCGTTATTGCATTAAATTATATGTTGGTCCTTGAACTGTTAGTTATAGGGTCTCTAATAACATATGAATCATACAAATAATTTAAAGAAAAATGTTTGCTCAATTTTATTATGTAGTTTCACAAAAAATAAGTTCACTCACTTTTTTTTTTTTTTACAGTTCTTTTAGTTGAATGTTGTTGGACAAAAAAATATTATTGATCCAATACTGATCAAAACAAAAAAACTGATCAGTGTGGTGTAGGACAGGCAAGTTTTACTAATCTTGCAATGTACAAAACAATGAAACTTGTGTGTGTTTTGTAGTATAAGAAAATGTTACTAATTATACACTGCTCAAAACAAAGAAAATGGTCTCTTTGTTGAAGGAAAACCAGACATTAGTAATTGTGCACTGCATCAAACAACTAAAGAGACTGGTCATTGTCGTGTAGGACAAGAAAATGTTTGGAAAATGTATAGAAATAAAAAAATTATTTCTTTGTTGAAGGAAAATTAAATGATACTAAATTGCACAAAACAAACTAGTTTCTGTGTTTTAGGACAAGTAAATGTTAAATTGGCAGTGGGTAGGTCAGATGGACCTGTACTGGATGGAATAAGACTCTCCTGCCATCCACGAGTCTCCCAACCATGGGTGAAATGGTGTGATGGTAACATGACATCACTGGGTGGACATCTTCCTCGATAAAGTCAACAGCCAGGGCTCCTGGATGAGCCACATGTTTGAGTTCAGGCTTAACCAACCAGGATGGGAGATGGGTGCCACCAGGTTGCAACTGCCTAAGAAACACCACATGATGACAATTAATACTCAACCCACACTAAATCAGTCACAGCCCAGGTTACCAATGACTGCACCTTCTGTCTCACACCAGAATGGAGGAGGATAAGTATGCTACTGGTGCTCCTACCAAGTTCCGTGGAAGAAACAACATCACCATTGGTACATAGAACGTAAGGACATTGAGAGTTGCAGGGAAATTGAAAGAACTTACACATAAGATGGACAGGTACCACTGGAACCTCCTTGGACTCTGGGAGATGCATTGGAAACACTTTGGGGAAACATCAAGTGAGGAAGGACACAAGGTATACTTCAGTGGGAAAGAGGATAAACATGGTGTTGGATTCTTTGTACACAAAAACATCGTGAACACTGTTACAGGTTGCTGCCCAGTCTCCAGCAGGCTCTTCACCGTCTGCCTGAGGGCAACTCCATTCAACATCACAGTAATGCAAGTGAATGCCCCAACATCTGATGATGATGACAGTGAGATGGAAGACTTTTACAACTAACTGCAGGAGATAAAAGATCAAACATCCAATAAGAACGTCCTTGTCGTACAAGGAGACTGGAATACAAAAGTTTGTAAGAATGCATCTGCAGATGGTTTTGCAATACTGAATCGGCTAATACTTTTGGTCCTCACAAATCATCCAGAAGATGGACCTGGCACAGTCCAGATGGACAACGTCACAACCAGATTGACTTCATCATGGGGGAAAGGCACTTTCGATCAGGAGTCACCATTGCCAGAACACTGAATTCTCTATGATCAGACATCAAAAGTGATTATGGTTTGTTGATGATGACTTTTCATCTCTGCCTGAAGAAAATAAGCAAACCAAAGCACACAAGAATCAAGTTTGACCTTGAGAAACTGAAGGACCTTGATGTGGCAGAAGCCTTTCAAGCAATGATTGGTAGGAAATTTGCACCTCTTACCTCAGGTCTAGATTTGATGATCACCACCTTCAACACAACAGTGACTGATGCAGCCAACAAGCACTGTCGTCTAAGAAACTCTGGGGTCACACCAGATATTCTGGATCTATATAATAAAAGAAGAGAACTGAAAAAGTGAAAAGACAATCCTGACGGAATGGGAAAATACAGAGAAGTCAACAACAAAATTAAAAAAGGCATGAAGAAGGCAAAGGAGAACTGGATAGAAGAACATTGCAATGAAATTGAAAGAAACTTGAACAAAAACAACAGTAAAAAAGCATAACAACTTGTAAAAGACCTAACAACCATAAAACAAGGGCAGGCCACTACTATTCAAGACAAATCAGGAAAATGTCTCATAGAAGAACAAGAGATCCTCCATTGGTGGACAGAATATTCCTCAGATCTCCACAAGGCCATGAGTGCAGTCCTAATAAATGGCTGCATAGGGGACTGGTTTCAAACATTTTTCTAGAGAGGATTATGACTGATGCTTTGGAAGATCATGCAGGTACTGTCAGTATTGGAGGCAGGCCAATCACCAAACTTCACTTCGCAGATGACATTGATGGCTTAGCAGGAGAAGAGCAAGAATTAGCCAGATTAATGGAATGCCTCATCAAAACATCTATAGCTTATGGCATGGAGACCAATGCCAAGAAGACTAAACTGATGACCAACAACACCAATGGCATCAGCACTAAGATCAATGTACGTGGGCAAAGACCTTGAACAGTAAAAAGTTTCAAATACCTGGGATCAGTTGCCACAAATGAGGGTTCCAAACCTGAGCTACTTTCCAGGATTGCGCAGACAACAACAGTGCTGGCAAGGTTGAAACCAATATGGAACAACAACAACATCACTCTTAGCTTCAAAATTAGGCTGTTGCACTCCATTGTCATATCCATATTTCTGTATGTTTGTGAAACATGGACCCTCACAGCAGATCTATTAAGAAGAATACGGGCCATGGAAATGAGTTGCTACAGAAAGATATTCTGCATCTCATATAAAAACCGTGTTACCAACGAAGAGGTCCACAACAAGATCTAACAAGCTATCGGACCATACAAAGATCTCTGTACCATTGTCAAAAAAGCAAACTGAAGTGGTATGGTCATATCTCACGGTCATCTGGCTTGGCAAATACCATCTTGCAAGGCACCGTGAGAGAGAAAAGAAGAAGAGATGGTAAGACAACAGAAAAGAGTGGACAGGCCTAGAGTTCGTCAACTCCCAAGGGATGGTGGAAAACCGGGAAAGATGGAGAGAGCTGGTTGCAAAGTCGTCAGTGGTGCCCCAACGACCCCGTGGGTTGAGGGATGAAGCGAAAGTGAAATATTATTTATGGTGCACTGCACAAAACAAAGAAACTGGTCAGTGTGGTGTAAGACAAGCAAATATCCCTAAATATGAAGTGTACAAATCAATCAAAGAAACTAGTCTCTGATTTATAGGACAAGCAAATATTATTCACTGTACACTGCATCAAATAAGTAAACAAACCAAGTGCTACTAATGATACAAAACAAATTCATATCTGTGTTGCATGAGAAGATAATGGTATTAATCGTAAATGCACAAAACAATTAATCTTGTCTCATTCGTGTA